TTTTTGTCTCTCCAGTGATATAATCTGTCAACGAGACGTTCATCTAACAAGTCAACTTTGAAGTTCTTCTGTAGGTAAAGACAGAGGTACTTTAACCATACACAACTTTCTGCTCAGTGAGCAGGAGCTGGCTTAAAGATGATGTTTACAACTGTTCCAGTTTGACTGGAATTCTAAAAATGCAGACTGGCCTCCAGAAAAGCTAGAGCTAAAACAAGCTATAATTGGCATGCTATCACTTTGTCTGAATCCAGAGTGTATCTGAGAAGAGTTTTTAAACAGTGTGGATCTACTACAAAAGCCACTCAGCTCTTTCGAGGTTGTTTGCTTTTGTTCTCCTAATAAGATCATGTCTATCTCTTTGAATCACATTCTACGATTCTGTAAATCCCTTCCTACCATCCTAGGGGTGGCATTAGGCAGGACAGGTTACTATGATTACCCCAGGTCCCATTCTCTGGACTGACGCAGCTCTGCAGCCTCCTCTGTTGTTACAGAGTGCACATACTGTACTGAGGTTGGATACGGTGCATATTACAGAATGCAGTTCCTGCCAAAGATCTTTTACGAGCTTATTCAACAATGCATCTGAAACAACATAAAAGAAACAAGATATTTTCCAGCCACCACACGTCTGCCTACCTGCTTATGAGACTATATATCAGGTCTCTCACAAACATACTAATCACCTACAAATCTTGAGGGATTTGAGGCTGCCTACTAAATTAGACCAAACAGGTAACACTCAGTTTTATCAGCCAATGGGCTACATATTTTTAAGCCTCCTTCTTCCCTCATCTATGGATAACAGCTTAGCAGATGAGACGCATAATTAAATATCACAGCTTCCAAGCATACAGACTTGGAGACAGAACAGGCCATTGCCAGTCTAGAACACATCCTTCCCTGTAATCTAGCAGAGGTGTTCCCAGTAATCCGGCAGAGGAGTGGTGAATTTCCATATGGTGATGTAAACCACCATAGACCAGATTTGGCATCTTTTCATTTGTTTCCAGAGAGGCTCTTGGTACTGGTCCTGTTGTGTACAGTGCTGTTAGAGTCTACATACATTAAGTAAACACACTTTGTAAGTCTCATCTCAAATTTATCCATGACAAATTATACTCAATATTTCTCTTACGCAGAAATGGCTGGCTTAGTGGGAGAGAGGAAAGCACTCTTATTTCTTTAGCCTTGACCTTAGCAAGGCTTTCAATAGAATCAGAATCAGTTGGAAGGGACCTCTGGAGGTCGCCTGGTCCAACCCCTGCTGCTGAAGCACAGCCACCTACAGCCAGTTGCCCAGGACTGTGTTCAGATGGCTTTTGACTGTCTCCAAGGATGGAAACCCCACAACCTCCCTGACGAGCCTGTTTCAGTGCTCAGCCACTCTCACAGTATCCTTGCAAATAAGCTGAGAACATATAGATTAGAGGAACAGACTACAGTGAGGTCAGAAGTTGGCTAGACTGAGCAATTGATGGTTCAAGTGACAGCAAATTAGTAGCAGCATACCTCCAGGGTCAATAACTGAAGCTTTACTGAAGTTTGATATCTTCATTAGGGCCAGGGCTGCCATACAGAGGGGCCTTGACAAGCTGAACAAATTTCTCAACAGAAGACTCATGAAGTTTGACAAAGGCAAATGCAAAGTCCTGCATCTGGAATGGAAGAACCTCATATGGGGATTATCAACCCAGGAAGGTAACTCCATGCTTGTACAGGCTGCAGACTAGCTAGGTTGCAGCTCTACAACCTAGGAGTTGCAGCATGTGGGAGGAGTGTCCAGGTGGACAAGATAAGTGTGAGTCAGTAGTGTGCTCTCACAGCAGAAAAGGCAACCTGTATGCTGGGCTGCATTAGCAAGAACATAAACCAGCAGCTTAAGGGGGAAATTATTGTTCCTCTCTCCTCAGCATTAGTAAAGCTACATCTAGAGTACCATGTCCAGCTAAGGGTTTCCTAGCGCAAGAGAGACAACACCACACTGGAGGAAGTCCAGCAGAGTGAGGAGAGGCTGGAGGAGATCAGTTTGTTTAGTCCAGAGGATCATACAGCTACAATCTTCCACTGCCTAAAGGGATATTATAGAGAAGACAGGGCCAGAGCCTTCTTAGAGGTGGCACAGCAAAAGGTCAGGTAACAACTCACAGCAAGAGAAACTCTAATCCGATGCAAGAAAACACATTTCCATAACAAAGGTAGTTGAGCACTGAATCAGGTACCCAGAGACAATGTAGGATCTCTACCCTTGCAGATATTCAAAACTTGGGTGGAGAGGGCCTTGAGCATCATAATCTAGCTTTCAAGTTAGCCCTGCTTTGAACAAGAGCTCAAACTGGACGGCCTACAAACCTGAGGTACTTTATGATCTGCCTGGAGCATGTGAGGCTTTTGACACAAACAGTGTTTTGATATTTCTGTTAAAGAACTACATGCAATCACTTTCTGAAGTGATAATAAAGCAATCTCGATCACCCTTCACGCTTGGGCTTCTAAGAGCAGATTCGATACTCTTGCAGAGCTCCAGGTCTATACATTGCCAACCAAAAGTCAAGCCTTTACTTCACATTGTTCGTAATCCAGCTCTAGATGGCAGTATATAGTACTAGACTATTAGATAAAATTAGAGTAAAACCTAGATTAGATTTCAGAATAACATGAGAACAATAGCCAATCATGCTAACAGTAATTTTTTTTTCTGGTAACTATATAGTTACCACTCCGATTCATAGGATTTTGTATTAATTATCAACAATTTCCATATCAGGAACGTCAACAGCTTAATAGAAAAGCTACTACATCACATTGATCTCAATTTTATAGTATTTAAATTCATTTCTGTTTCTTACCACCAATAAATACATTTTGCTATCACAGTTTAGCTAATTGATAGTAGGACAACACTAATAAACCCATACAATTAAGTGCATGTGGATACACACACATTTGGTTTTGTCAGCTTATCTAAGAAAAGAGGAATAGAACTTCAGCCCATTGGCCAAAATTGAAAATTCATGTTCACAAAAATTATATAAGCAGTGTTGTCACAAAACTTTCTTTTGGTATGGGGATGAACAGAAAAAAAAATAAATTTATATATATACGCACACCCCCCCCCCAATTCAGTTCCATCCTCTACTATTTCAGGGGACTCTAAAGGCACATTTCTTAACAGAGGTAGAAATCTCTTAATATTCAGAAAAGAGGAAAAGAATAGAGAAGCACTGAACATTTTTCGTTGCCATTCTGCTTTATACGGCACTGAGAAAGTTTCCACTGCCCACCTATTCCATTCAGAGGAATACTGCAGGCACACAGGACATGCAAAAAGCATAACTGATCACCTTTTTGTGAATCATGACGTGTTGGCAGGACAAGGGAGAGCCCCCACACTTATTTTTTCTCATGCAGTTCGGCAAATCAGAAGGCAACACACCAAAATCTGAATAAAGTTTCAGAGCATTGCTTCATCACAGTCAAGAGATGATGCATTTCCAGTTTTCATGCTAAGGGAACTCAGACAAGTTGAGCACTTCCTGTTACCAACTTTCAGATGTCTAGATATGTAAAACCAAAACTTCAATGTCTCAGGCTGTATGAAAGGTTTTGTCCTACCTGCATGAAGATAAGCCAGCAGAGTTCATGCCAGAAATGTCAGAATCGAGTTCTATCATTAAAATGTTAGCTAAGTCCCCTAAAGGTAGGAAAATGAGGATGTGGATAATTGGTACTGTGGACAGGAGGGAACTGTACTCAAATGGACTAGATTTCTCTTGGGTGCATGAATAACATAATCCAATGTGATTCTGCCTTTGATGAAACCAAGAACAATGCAACTTGAATAACTTTAAGATTCCTTGTCTAGTTTGAGTCTTCCCACAAGAAGAGACTTTCTAAAAAAATGAGTGCAGACATGCACTGAGACAAGATGACATATCCATAGCAACATCACTGCTGTTTGATATCCCACTGAAACAGAACACACTTTTCAACTGTAGGTTATGTCCCAGACAAATACAAGTATATCTAAAAAATTTGAAGACGCACATGGTAACACAAGAAAGTATGAAAAGAAACTACTAGCATTCTTCATAATTAATTACCCAGAAGGTTGTAGATTTGATAGTAGATGTTACAACTGTCTCATTGTAGTGGTATGAAATGGGATTAGAGGAACAGATGATGTTTCTAAAGAATTAACTTCTCTGTCTAGTTTTATATACCTCTTATTGAAGTAATTTGTTTTCTACTTCAGTTTGGGTTTTTTTTCTTAAAACTAGATGGATGTACATTGACGTATTTACCTGCTAATTAACACTAAACTTCCTAACCTCTTTAAGCAAATAAAAAAGTTGGGTTATTTTTCTATAAATTTATTGTAAGAAAGTACCAATCAGAGAGAGATAAATTCAAATATCTATACAAGGCCAGAAAGGTGATGATTTATTTCAGTATATTTCCCTGTAGGGTTTAAGACTGAAACCCCAATCTTCATTTAGAACACAAGACGTTGTATCGGTACAGGATTTGAAATCCTTTTTCTAGCCAGTCCAGATTTACTGGAACAATAGGTAAAGCCAAAAGAGAAATTATTTTTAACATGCCCACAAGTTGGAAAACACACACTCCTATTACAGCCCCACCTAGAATGGGCACTTGGCAAACGGGGTACCACGCATTTCAAGCTCTTTAAAGACAGCTCTGTTTCTGAAAATGCCACTCAGGAATTCTCAAAAAAAACTAGGCGTTGGGAGAACTTCTACTCTAGCTGAAGCATCATACATGTCGTCAGAGTTTGTTATTCAGCCTTAAGCAAGAGGAAGAGGAAACTTCACAGAGATTTAAGCAGAGAGGCACCCAGCACTTGCGATTAGAGCAGCCCCGCCGCCAGCAAGCGCCCACGAAACGCCACCGCGGCCACCTTCACCCACGCTTGTCCCAGCTGAAATAAACCCGAAAGTCTTCACTTCCCCCTCCCCGCACCATTACCCCCCTACCTTCCACCGAGCGCCCGATGCTGTGCAAGTGGGTGAGGGAGGGGTACGCGGCATGAACCCCCTTCAGGTACGCCTCCAGCTCCTCGGTGTGGTGGTACTTGAAATCCAGCGCGGCCGCCATGGAAAGGAGGTAGAGGATGCCCACCACATCCTGGAAAGAAACAGATGAACTAAAAAGCCGGCGGGGAAAGGCGGGCTTGACGCTGCCCCGGCTCT